GTCCCAATTTTAACGGATGTCCCGAAGGAAGTGGCCGGGGCAGTGCCCCACTGTGCTATCGAAGGCCAACCGCCCCCCTCTGAACCCGCATTGCCTCCCCAGACAGTCCCGGATATGTGGTCTTACCCGCCGGGCCCTGCCATCTGGCCTCAACACAGGCCTGTACTCCGAAATTTCAACGACATACCCACCGAGCTACCCTGGCGTCTGCCCCAGTACCACGTGCCAGCATGGGACCTGGTAAGGAACCAGTCGGGTTACTAGAAGAGCGTAACAAAACAGGGGCAGTTTTCGGCACAACCACAGAAATGGCTGGTAACTGCACTTTTAGCCGACCCCACGAATACAACGTACCCTCGCACCAGCTCGCGTCCCCGAATGGGATGCGAAAAAATAAAACACAAATGAAAAATAAAATAAAATAACCATAGTATCGGGGAAAATCGCGGGCCGCTGGCACCTCGTCAGTCCCGCGGGTTGGCCCGCTGCCGCGTCAGAAAACAAAACCGCGGGGGATAGCCCCAGAGGGCCCTCAACCCCTCAAGCCTTCGTTCCATGCTACTCCTTCGCCGCCGCGCCGACGCCCGCTGGCCTCGATCCCCGAATCTCCATAGTGACACTCCGTTATAATAGTCCGACGCCGTAAACTATAGGGCTAAGCCCAAGCCTGAGACCAAAACACGSCGAGTGCCATATAAGACGGCGCTTTGGGTCAACGAAAACGGCTGCGCGGCTCTCAGTGCCCGCGCCAGCTTGCTTATACCATGCCATTATTGCCCCGCACGCCATCCTACGACATCCTGCTCACCGCACGAAAATCGCGCCGTTATTGCCGATGCCGTCGTCGGGGTCGTTCTCCGCACACGCGCTTGACCTACTAATCAAAAAGAAAATATCCCTAATCCCAGCTTAATAAAAAAAAAATAATATCACGAAACGAAACGACCGAGGTCCGGGCCGGCTTTACGATTAAATAACAGAAAAAGAATCACGCGCGCCTTAAACCTGCGCGCCCACGCACTCACTATTGTGGTCAACCACCCAGTCAATACAATTACAAACGCAGCCGCGCTTAGCGCGGTATACTTAAACTTTAAACCAAACAATTTTCTGTTAATTGCAAGAACCCAGGGCGGATACCCTTGTAAGGGTATTCGCACTGATAGCTTACCGGACCATATTAAGCGACGTCCCCGTCGCTTCGCCAAATCAGAATACTATAAATCCATCCACACTGCAAATTCTGACGTGACAGGAGCCAATCTGATTAGCCGACAAACACAGGGTAGAGGCCTCCATCAAACCATGTCTTCATAACTATATGCTGCCAGGTTTCTAACCTGGGCCTCACATCGTCCAGAAATTAGGACACTGGCAGCATAAGTTCCAAAGACCTTCCCAATCGTTCTCTCCCCGGTCCTAGACAACCTTCGGCTTTTCGTTGGGTGTCCCCAGTCCTGGCAAAACTAGGGACGTGGGCCTTAATCGAGACCTTTTGAAGGCACTCTCGCCTTCCTTCTCAAAATTTTCTCGCAATCAAATACACGCAAGTATATATGTATACTTAGTATTTGCTCAGCACTTTCTGCAGTCTAGTACAGAAAGGCTAGGTCTCCACCTTGGCCCACCATAGCCTGGCTGATCGGACCAGGACCACGGCCCACCGCATTGTTATTTAGCGGCAGTACCTTCGTTGGTTACGCAACGATAGGTTTCCTCCTGGTAAGCACTCAATCAGGATCTCCCCCTAAAAATTTTCAACCATCATTATCCCGCGGAGTAGTTTCACTGGGGCGGGCAACCCCCCTTAAACTCTTACCCCGCGGTCCCGCAGCCAGGTTGCGCCGACTAGCAGCCATCCAATGGGGTTACGCCCTAGAGGTACTAACTTCTTTTCCGTTAGCTTGGCCTTTCTTCAATATGTCCCAGAATTAGCACAGGTGGTTAGACGGGGCGTCGCAAAACAAAATCACAGGCCCATTGCGCGATACGCAGGGGTCCGAAAGCATTTACCAGCCCTCCTTCAATAGGCATGGCATCCTTCGCACGCTTACAAGCAAAATCACCGCTAAATCCACCAGGCCGTGACCCTTGACTTGATCAGAGTCAGCAGCCACCCACCCTGAGACATCTCTCGCCCTGTACTCATTGCGACTTTCTCAAACATTTCAAACAAAAAATGACCCTTTCCGTTAGACTTTATCACCCATCAAACAATTCGTCATGCCATAAATCAATTTACTCACTTCTGAGGATGAGTCTTCCAACCAAAAACCACTCCCCTTTTCCAACAATCCAAAAGGGGCTATCTTCATAAACAAAACATCCCCTCTTCCAAAAATCGCGAGGGGTCTCGCCATAAAACAATACATTCCCTCTTCCAGAAATCACGAGGGTCTCATCATAAACCAAACACCCCCTCTCTCAAAGTCACGAGGGGTTTCGTTACATCACAAAACATCATAAAACATCCCCCCCTTTTTCAAAATCTAAGGGGGTCCCATCATAAAATAGAACATCACTGAGAAACCATCTTATGGGTCATCATCACAACTTAGATAACTTTCACAGACGGATTGCGCTTCCTCTCCTTATACTCTGCCTTATCAGTTGTCGTGGGCAGGTCGCACAAGTATACCGAGGAGTAGACAGTTTTACTTACAATCATACTCACAGTWCCTATAATACACCAGATGTTTTTCACACCTCGTCCACACAAACTCATCATACATCAGAGTACAACCACACATGTGAGAGTGACAAGTGATCGTCACATATAAGAATGATTAAAGAGCTTATCATAATATATACTCAAGGAAATAACCTGTCTCAACTCAAGTCACACCAAACTTACACTAAAAACTGCCCCTAGAATACATGTCAGATCCGTGTCTCAAAGGCCAGGGCGTAGGCCACCTAAATATGTATATGCCTCATCCAACTCACCCTGATCCTCAAGATTCCAACTCAGTAAAAACACTAGAGTTCAGATCTAGATTAACAACAATCATCAAAATGTCTTCTAAGTCTAAGAGGGTATCACACAGAACCTAAGTTGATGCCTCACAAAATGCTCGCTCACTTATATAGACAAAACC